CTAGTGTAGAACCTTCGGGTGGACTACTTAAATTAGACAATGACTAAAGTTGTACAAGTGGCTAGTTGTACACTCTTCCCATGGTTGCCTCCTATGGTTGTAATGCAACCATTAGCAAATATACTATTAATAAAATCCTGGGTCGCAAGTACTTACCTTAATATTTTAAAAAAAAAAAAAATTTTATAAAAATATATAAAAAAAAAATATAAAGAAGTTATCTAATAATAAGTATCAATTTTCATTTTTTATATTAAATCTATTATATTACCAAAATCATATAACAAATGATTTATGTACCTTATACTCTTAATTTATTCTTGTTAAAATCAACCTATATGATTTAAATTATAAAAATATTATTTTTTATAAAAAAATAATAAATATAGATTTAAATAAAAAAACTTTAATATATACTATATATACCGTATACGTAGAGTACCCTTATATTAACAAAAAAATCACGAGCTGTAACCAAAAAATGTAGGCCCGTAGTATTTCAAAAATTAACTATATATATATATATATATATATATATATATAAACAATAGCTCTCGATACGTATAACGGACCAATTATAATGGAACCAAATTATGATTATTATAATATTTGATATATCGTGAGATTTTTGATATAAAGAAGCAAAGGACTGGAATCATGGTCTTCGTTATATCGAGAGCTGCTGTGTATAATAGGACAATTTTTTTAAAATTTTTGGGTCGGATCCATCGGATTTAGACCGGTATTTAGTAATACAAGTTAACCATTTTTGGACCAAATATTACGTAGCTGAGCAGCTTTACTTAATTAGTGGGCTATGACTTTATTTACACAGTACGTATTAACAAAACTTTTTTAGTAATATAGTTAATTCCGACTCTTCCGGTCATGATTCTGAAGTATTCCGACACAGGAATTTGGGTATGAGTTCAATATTACACAACTAAACCAACAGGTTCCGATATTGTAAAAGCTGCACATCAGGTATATATCAGGTATGGGATTAGTTGTGTAACATCGATGGATCTTCCTGTACCTATATAACTAACATTAGAAATCGTAAAATTTCATTCTGAAAACTTGGTTGTCATAGTAAATTTTTCTTATTAACAATTTATATTTTTTCACGTTTGGAGTGTTACACGAGAGGCTTTAATTTTATTGGATCCGGTTAGGGTCGGAAGTGATCTTCAGTCCGGGATTTTCTTGTATACATATACATATTATTTATATATATTGATTAAATATAAGAAAATTAGAATTAAAAATTTTACGTATTTATATATTAATAAAAAAACCATACGTATACTTAAGTTTACAATAAAAAAAATTAAAAATATACAGGGTCTCAATAAATTTATTAAAAATAAAGTACGTGTACGTATGTACATACGTACGTACAAGTCGCTTTAATATCCATGTGTCCCTTGCCTCGTGTAACCGCCGATATGTAATACGAATTAATCAGTATTGGTATGTACTTTTTATCCTTGATTATCTCCATATTCGGAGAGAGAATGAGATACGAGATTTTACTATTAGCACAGCCACCGAAAAACGAATAACATTACGAGAATAAAAACTCGATTGCAATGTAAAAAAAAAAGTTGTGTATTCATCATATGAACAAATAAAAAGAAAATTCTTAATAGTTTCAATTAGAGGTTTTTTTTTGTCTAGGCAAAAAGAACAATCGAATGAGTCTTCGAATTGTTTCTTTTTGCTCATGTAGAGTGTAGGATTTACAATACACCCTACAATCTTGACGGTACGATAATTGTGTAATTTTTTTTTCAATGGTAAAAAGGCCATTGTATTATTAAAAATCGATTACTTTTTGCGGACAGTATTTACAATAGGAAAAATATCACATCTGTGCAGTATTTGCAGGGTGACGAGTGAGAACAAAAAGAACACATTTGATTAGTAATAATATAAATCGAAAGAAAATAAATTTATATTGTATTTGCATATATATATGTAGTGTATATGTATATGTATATATATGTATGTGTATATATATATATACTTTTTTTTTTTACACTAAGATATAATTCTTACAAACCAACTTAATTAAATAATATTAAAGAACATGTTACTGTAAATAAGGAAATGAATTATCGTTAATTCAGTTATATATTGTTTTTTTTCATTTTCATTTTTTTCAATTAAGAAAAAAAAAAGTAATCAGTGAACACAAGTCTCGAGTCAATAGCCAAAAAAGCCAAGAAATAAAATAAAATAAAAAAAATCACGAACAGTGCAAAGGTTACATTAAAGAATCGAAACGAACAGAAATAATAAATTTGAAAATTGTGCTATGCCTAGAAATTGTTAAAAATAATAAAAAAAAAAGGAAAAAAAAGGAAAAAAAAAGATGACCAATGTTCATTGATTTTTCCCACCTCTTTGTACAAGAAATGTAGTGCGACCACAACCACAATGCAATATGATTCAACCCATAGAGGTTTGACAAAAAAATAAGGATTATAAAAAAAAAAAAAAAAAAAAAATAATAATTACAAAGAAAAAAAAATAATAATTGCAGGTTGTTAAAGATAAATCTCGCCAGACTTTCAAACGCTCATCCAACGTCATCTCTTAAGTTCTATATGTGCTATATATAAAAGCTTTTGAATATTTGTTAAACTATGGATGTATGTAAATAATTTGTGTAAATCAAGCCTAACCCAAATTTCTGAATATTGCCAACCTTCTTCCACGATTTTGACCAACAACAGACACGAGATTTGTGGGTTGCTTAACACTCATACTAACGCTTCTTTCTCTTAAAATAGTATTACCAACAACGTTAGAAGTATTATTGACAACATTTGCTTTCTCTAATCGACATGAAGTTGTCGATGCTCTTCGACGCGCTTGTGCATGATCATTTTGATCCAATTTTGTTTCGTATAGATCAGGTTGAATCGAATTAAACTCGTAAATAGTCGATGTTCTATCGTCGGTTAACAGTTCACGTAATAACAGAGGCTTATCGGCGTAACCTGGCGGAACGTTGATTTCATCGTCTTCATCGTCTCGAGTATTCGCCGATGTTGTATTAACGTTAGTGGAGGAGCTACCTGGATGAGATTCATCATGAACGGTGGAAATTTCACCATTCAAAATTGGATCATTTGAGATCGATCCAGGAAGAACCAATGGACCCGAAAAGTAAGCATCTGTGAAAGCTCGAAGGGATTCTGTACTTGAAGAATTAGTAGTACCTTTTAAATTTGAAGTTACAGGTTGTATGGTTCTAGACGATGCGGAATCATTAACGTAAGATCCATAAAGTGCAGGGTCACTTCCAACTTTACTTAAACCTTTGGATTTGCTATTTTTACTCGAATTTTTTAAATTGTCAGCACTATTTCTTCTTTTGCAAAGAATAAGGCGGCTTTTGTCGTTATGAATAAAGCAACATCGTTTGCCATAAGGGCAAGTACCATTTTGCCAAAAGGTTTTACAAATTTCAGTCTTGTACTTTGGATGATGAGTGACTTTTCGTAATTCAGAATCAGAATGAGCAAATTGACATTTGTTTCCATAACTATAATATTATAATTATAAATATATATAATAAACATTATAAACATAATAATAAAACAATTAAATAATGATAATAAATATAATTGATGAGTACTAACCGGCACGAACCACGTTCTTCCCAATTTCTACACATTTCTGTTTTATATAATGTGGCTTTCTTTTGTTCCTTCTCGAGTTCAATAGTAGATTTTTCAGAATGTTCAGAAGCAACATCCGAGATAACAGTAGGATTGCTTGAACGACGAACCTTTGTTTGTTGAAATTGTTGTTGAGAGATGGTGGTGGTGTTGTTGTTGCTGCTGCTGTTGTTGTTATCACCAAGAGGGTTTGAAGGTAAGTCAGAAGAATTGCTAATAAAACTACCCATCGAAGTTCTTTTCTTTAATGCATGAAAATTCGGAAAAGAGGAACGAGATCTGAGAGTTGAATTAGAATCTCGTTGTGGTATAAAATTTTCAGCGGGATGATCAATTAACGACCATCCATTAGTAACAGGAGTAGAGCAACGAGAAGTCGCAGTAGAACTTGTAGTAGCAGTAGTAGGAGTAGTTAAATCCTCAAGAGAAGACCAGGCAGATGGAATGACCAATGGCTTAGCAAAAGCAATACTGTAAAGAGCCTGTTGATACGGATCTTCGTTGACAACACTATTATCGCATTCCACATCAATAGAAGTGGGAATAGTAGTACCATTATTTTGGAAAGAACCACCACCACTAATTAGATGATCATAATAAAGGGAATTAACACAAGAGTGACCCACGGCATTATTATTACTATTATTATTATTATTATTGAGGTTGCTGTTATTATTACTATTATTATTATTTGATTTGGTGGTACCGGTTTCAATTAAGAGCTTGTTAGCAGCATAACTAAAGTAATCGCCCAAATCGAAGAACTTTGTCGCACGAGGTTCCCAGATCAAGTTGTCAGATTCTAAATGCTGAATTGGATTGTTGACAGACATGGACTTTGCGACCGGCGCATACAAAGGTGAAAGAAGGACACTGCAAGTATTTTTTAAGGCCTTTGCTTCAGAATTGGACATTTTCCGGTCATCAGTTGGAACAGTACTAGTGATGTCTTTAGGAACCACAGCGGTCATTATATCCATTGAAGAAGACGAACAAATTACAAGCAATGAAAAAAATAGGTTTGATCCAAAATGAAAAAGTTCTAAAATTTAATTCAAACTCAAAGGAAAAAGTGTTTATATAAGGACTTTAACCGAATAATGAGAAATGAATTCTAATACGTGTTTCAATTATGTGGCAACAATAGTGAGGTGGAACGAAGGAGGTTCAAATAATAACAATATGTTATGTAACAAAAAATAGTTTAAAGACGAAAAAAAAAAAAAAAAAAAAGAAGAAAAAAGTTAGTATGAAGTACGATTAATCATATGATGACTAGTAGCAATCGAGTGAGAAAAGCAAAAAAAAGTTGACATCATGATACGTAAAAGTTTAGGGACAAACTTACCGTGATGATAATTAATTACACGCGAAAAGCCGATAAGAATTTGATTAAGTTATGATTTTTTTTTTAAAAAAAAAAAAAAAAAAGAAAAAGAAAAAAAGAAAAATCTAATAAATAGTCGCTCTATCTAAAGCTTCTTTTATTGTTTTTTTTTTCCTTTTTTTTCTCTGTCAGGTATATTTTAAGAAACGTCGTGTCATAAATTTTTAAAACACGATGTGCTTGCGTGTTTCTTTCCTCGAATATGTTTTTTGAATAGAAGTTGGTCAATCCCAAGGCAATAAGAAGTGTGAAAGCCAGAGTTTAAGGGCTGGACTTAATGAGATCACAAAAAGCTAAAAGTTGCGGAAAGCGAAAGATAATGTTCGCTTTTAATTCCGAAAAAGGAAGTCGACGGAAAGAACAGGTGAAAGGAACTTTAGGAAATTTTTTTTTTTTTAAAAAAAAAAAAACTCTACACAAGAGGGGCAGAACTAAGTTTTCAAGAAATCGTCAGTTTATATAATCGTGAGCCAAAATAATGAGGTGTGTAAAAAACCAGAACAGGCAACAAAGGCAATGGCGAAATTATCTGGGTTATCCAATTTAAGTATAAAGCAGGCAGACTAGATTAACACATAAAAAAAATTTTTTTTTTTTTTTTTTTATTATCAGCGTTCTATTGTTGACTTAACAAAAATTTATACAGTAGAATCTACAACATATCATTCAAATGTCACCGTGAATAACGCAGGAAAAAACAACGTAACAAAAAAAAAAAAATAAATAAATAAAAAAATAAACAGTATTTATTTTATTTATTTATTTATTTTATTTTATTTTATTTTATTTATTTTTTTTTTATTTTTACTTTTTATTTTATTTATTTATCGTCATTTATTTATATCAGTAATAATTACATGTAATAAGATTTATATAACAAAATTTTCAATTCTTTATCATCTCTTTACGGTTTCTCATTCCGATGCATCGCCTCCTCAAAGAAATCAACCGACAATAATGCGACCCCTCAGTTTCTATCCGATTCACAAGAGTAGAAATTAATTCGCTTTACATGTAAAAGTATAGAACCATTTTTATGACAGAATCAAGATGCCACCAATCAAGTCACGTTTAAATCTAAAAACCCGAATCGAACCAGTTCATTTTTGTTGACGAGCATAATAGATATAATAGACTCGTAATAAAATAACTATCAACCATAGCGTAGCATAAAAATGTAAGGTATATCATTGATGCGCAGACTTTCGTAAAGTTAATTAGACAAATTTGGAAAAAACGATTATTTGAAGACTCGTGTTCTTCGCACATCATCACACGTCGAGTCATATAGATAACTAAAGGTCGGAAACTCGGACGACGCAGGGTCGGAAAAAGAAGAAATCAAGCGGGAACAAAGAGCATAAAACAATGCTGACAGTTTGCATACAATCCCCACGCCGTCATATTGAGCATTTTCAAACGTCATTTAATATTTGGAAGATGCATATGCCATTATTGTTTCATAATTGTTAGCATACGACACATTGCCTGATATATGAACACATTATTTTAGCAATTTCTTTTTTGCTCATAGTTACGTGGAGCATCGAAAGGATATATGGATATTGAAAAATTATTTATAACCTTAACACATACAATCAAGGTTCTTTGTCCTACGATTGAAAGTTTTTGACAGTTTGAGGTAAAAAAGCATGGTGGTCGACGTTTATTTGTAACATTTTTCTTGTGTCCTGTTTATTTACAAGTTTGTACTAATGGGATTTTTGGAATATTCTTATTGGTCATCCTGTGGCTTTTTCAAGGAACATCCCACGGATTTCCTGTCGATCTTGTGCGAATGAGTTGTCGCATGCCTATTGAACCCTTTTCTATTATTCTAAAAAATTTACTATAAAAAAAAATATATATTGATATATAAAAAAAAAAGTATAATGTTTTACAAATTATTTTTAGGTAAACTTAAAAATTTTTTTTATTTTTTCGAAGCATTTTCATAACAAAGCATATACATGATCTATAGGTGAATTCTTTACACAAGTAGACTGAACGCAAACAAACAAAACAACAAATTAACAAATCAACAGGTTCGACAAATAACAGTAAAAAAAGCTTTCTCTTCTTTCAATGCTGTTCCCAATGCAGTTCTAATGCAACACCCCTGTTCAACTTTGAAGATCACATTCACGTTGTTTGATTCTTATTTTGTTCACGCAGAGTGCGATGGGTTCGCATAGCGATAATGCTTGCCAAATACCAATTTTGGGATTTCGTGATTAGTATTAGTAAGTTTAGACGAGATTAATTAACCGTTCATATCCAATAATACGTAAAACACAAAAGCAATGCTTTTTCACATAAACTTTCATATTGTTTACATAGTGATAGGATAAATGCTATATATCACTTCTCTTCATTCATCACCGACCATTCAGATTTAGCAGATTGTATCATTGTAACCAAATAGAGCATCAGCAAATCATTTGATAATGGTTGTCTTAAAGAAAATTCTATTGTCATATGGATTTAGAAAACAATAGGACTTTTTTTAAATCAATGTAATCATTTGATGTCTTAACGCAATGTCTTTTCTCGGTATTTAGAAAACAATCTTTACAATGCACCAAGTTTCATGGAAAATTTTATAATATAAATTACCTAAAAAAAATAAAAAATAAATTAAAAAAATAAATTAAATTATAATAAGAAATAAATTGTAAAAAAATACAAAAAAATAAATTATAAAAAACAAATTATAGAAATAAATTCATAGAAAAATAAATTTATAGAAAATAAATTTATATAAAAATTATAAATAAAAAGAGCAAGTTTATTTCTTTTGCATGCGATTTTCAACAAATTTCAATTAAATTTCGCACACGCTAGGTGAATCATTTTTATTAACTATTATTTGTACGTCATTATCGTTCCCACGATTAATTCCGATTCTCGTTCGGTCCAAATGAGTAAATAACTTGTTCTCAATATTTACTTTTAAAGTAATTGATGAAAAATATATAATATATAAAAAGACTTGTCATAAAGTCACAAATCATTATATCGGATTCTCCCTCACGCGGAATGATTTACAAACAACAAACAAAGCAAACAAGTGTGAAAGTTGTTCAAGTTTATCGTAATTTTGGTTTCCACGAGCTTAAGTTCCAAAGAAAGTGGTTGATAAATCCCGACTCAGGATAACGATAAACATGATTTATTTCCTAAATGAATAACTTACTTCCCAGTAACCGATGATATTTTCCCTCAAGCCGTTAACCTCGTGGTCACTCAGTGTTACATCTTCCACTGCCTTAGCATAGATTTCATATATTCTTGGAGTATTACTTGATTTTGGACCGTTTCTATATAAATAATAAATATTCGTAAACCGTTGTAACTTGTGATCGATCACGATGTGATCAGCCTCTTCATAATCAGTATAATCAGCATAATCGGCATAATCGGCATAATCGGAATGATGTCGGAGTATCAATAACGTTTAATTAGCTAATTTATTACAAAAAAAAACAAGTTTCTCAAAATTCGAGATAATTCTATGTAATTTGTTTCTCATTTGTTAATGGTATTTACTTTTATGGTCCTCAATCACTTGCGCTTGTACGTTTTTGAACTTATCAACTTTCGTCCTTAGAGTATACACACTCGTGTTAAAAGCTTCTTTAGGCAACTAAAAATATGCTTTTTTTTTGTAAAAAAAAATATATTTTACATTTGTGCACACCCAAAAGTACATACGTACAAATAATAAACATCAAACACAGCTTATATTTAATCTAATTGTATTGTCCTGAGTTGAGGTTGTACCAAAAAGAATGATACCATGAATTTGGTGACACCAGTTGCCTCATGGCTGATACGTACGAGTGTCCAACAGACACGCTTTATCAATTCCTTTAAAAAATATTTATGTATACATGTAAGCGAACAAGTAAGTGTTCAATGTGCACGACTATTATTTAGTATCTTCAACGTGTCATAAATGAGTCATTGCCACGATTCTTGTTCTTCGTCCAGAATTTGAATTCCATTTGTATTATACTTACACTTGTAGGTTCGCGTTAATACCCTGATTTATTATATTAAATTTATTGTTAATTTATTATTAATGACTTATTGTTAATAATTTATCGTTAATGACTTATTGTTAATAATTTATCGTTAATGACTTATTGTTAATGACTTATTGTTAATGACTTATTGTTAATAATTTATTGTTAATAATTTATTGTCAATTTATTGTTAATTTATATCAATTTATTATCAATTTATATTTTTAATCATTATTTTTATAAATTATGTATCACAATTATTCTTAATTACTCTTAATTATTCTTAGGTGTTGATTTTCTATTTCGTGAATCATGAAAAATACTATTGTATGATAAATTAACTTTTGTCTTTCTCGCTCAGACTTAGTTATCCCAATTGACCTATAAAAACTTTATTTATAAATCAAGCTCTTATAGGTCCTTGAACACATTATTGACGCACTTCAATAACTTTATTTCCGATTGTATTATTTGAAACGTCATAGCTGCGCTTAGTCGAGAGCAGTGTTAACTTTTTTATCATGCACTAATTATTTGTTTTTATATATATACATAA